ATTGATGCAGGTGCCGTCGAATATCCTGGTTGGGAAGATTAGTCGGCCGGGGACGTATAGTGAGTGCGCTACATATTATATTGCGGTGGTGGATGCTGATGCGACGGAATCTAGTTTGTGGCGCGATGGCCGTCTGGGGCGTCGTTTCGGCCGCGACGGGCGCGGTTCAAGGTTTCGTCGGCCTCCTGCTGTGTCGGTTCTTCCTCGGATTCGTCGAGGCGGTTTTCTTTCCGTACGTGCGCCGTCACATATCCTTATTCCGTGGTGCTGATTTTTCATTTTACTCATGCAGCGGCGCGCTGTACTATCTCTCGATGTTCTACAACCGCAAGCAGTACACGGTCCGCGTGGCCCTGCTGTACTCGGGCTCGCAGCTTGGGAACGCGTTCGGTGGGCTGTTGGCGGTCGCGATCCTCAAGGCGGATGGGCGGCACGGGATCGAGGGATGGCGTTGGGTACTTCTTCTCCCCCACAATATCCACCTCCCCTTCCTCACTAATTTGACGACCCCAGCTATTCATAATCGAGGGCGTCGCCACGGTCGGCATCGCGCTCCTCCTCATGTTCGTATTGCCGAATTCGATGGCGACGGTCAAGGGGCTGAGTGCGGCGGAGCGCGAGTGGCTTGCGTGGAATTTCGAGGCGGATCAGGGGCAGAGGGATGATAAGGGCGAGTTGGGCGGGTGGGAGGCGTTTAAGATGGCTGCGACGGACCCGAAGACGTATTTGCTTATGGGGACGCTGCATATGGTGCGTTTGCACAGTTCAAGAAAGGAAGCTGGCTGAGGGATTGGGATTTAGACGTATGTGGCGGCTACTGTGACGAGCTTCTTCCCGAGTGTTGTTTCGACGCTGGGGTATAGGTGCGTGGGTTGGCTCCGTGATTGTTCAATGTTTCTAATTTACGTGCCAGTCGCAACATCACCTACGTCCTCACCGCGCCTCCGTGCGTGCATACCAATATCCGCCTCTTTGATTCCACCGGGCTGACATCTACTCCAGATACTTGCTCTGCGTCGTGGTCATGATCATAAACAGCATTCACTCCGATCGGGTCGGTCGTGCCCACTATTTTTGTGCTTGACTTACAGTTATTGCTCAGACTCAAGAGCGCTACTGGCACATCGTGCTTCCCCTCGTGTTCACCACCATTAGCAACATTATCGCGGTATCGACTTTGAATACCGCTGCCCGATGTACGTTCTCCATCCCCTCCTCAAGGATCGATTCATTCAATCTATTTTTTTTTCGCAGACGTCTCAATGATGCTGATGCCAGCCAGCTTCTACGGCGCCACCGTCGTCATCCTCTCCTGGGTCTCCGGCAGCCTCACCCAGCCCGCCCCCAAACGCGCCGCCGCCATCGCCCTCATCAACGCCGTCTGCAACACGCCCAACATCTGGTCGCCCTACCTCTACGCGCACCCGCCGCGCTACACGCAGGCGTTTGCGGTGAATCTCGTCGCGGGGGTGCTTGCGGTGGGGTTCGCGACGGGGACGAGGGGGTATCTGAGGAGGCAGAATGAGAGGCTGGGGAGCGGGGTGCCAGATGGGCGGAGGAGTGCGCCGACGGGGGCGCAGCAGAGGGCGGGGTTTCGGTATGTGCTTTGAGGGAAGGGGAGGAGTGTATTTTTTATGTGAAGAATCAAGTGTATTTTGCTGCCAACGATATTATTTCTTGCCTGGCTTCTTTTTTTTCAGAATCTTGGTCCGAAGTTGAAGTTCTCCGAACTCAACTCGGACTTTGTCAGACGGGGACTCGACCCTAAAATACCTTTCCTCTGTGCCTGGCTCGGGAATCGACTGCTCCGATAAACCGTAACGTTCCTGGCGGGTCGGTGAACACCCGAGGTACAGCTGAATACTTACCTGGGCCTCGGGCAGGACAAGGGCGGCATGAGACGATGGATTAACAAGCCTCCGCCGATCTTCCCCGCGTTTGATCGCTCTATTCCCTCTTTGGACGCGTCAAATTATCGCCCACTTTGACAGATTTTGGCTCGGCTGCTCTCCTCCCGCCACCACCACCACCAGCCATGCCGTCCACCCCTCCCGCCGCCGTGATGGAAAAGGCGTCGACTTCGTTTGACGAGGATAACGTTGCTTCGTCGAAGGAAGTTGAAGTTCACGAAATCACTGACGCCGCGCGCACCAAAATCCTGCGCAAGCTCGATTGGCACCTTCTCCCCTTTGTGTCGCTCCTCTACTTGCTGTCGTTCTTGTACGTCTTTTCTTCGCGCGACTACCACCGACGTGTTCCTGATTGGCGTGGCGTGGAACAGAGACCGGGCGAATATTGTGCGTGTCCGACTTAAGAGTCTACAGTCAGATTCTCACTGGGAACGTAGGGAAATGCGAAGGTTGCTGGTTCGTACCCCTCCGATGCAGTTGGGAGGACCCTTCTTCACCCCCAGACTACTAGGCATGGCGAAGGATGCGCATTTGACTGGTTTGCGGTATAATATTGTGCGTCCGAGTCATCTCGAGCAAAAGCGTATTGACGAAATGGCGCCAGATCGCGGCCGTCTTCTTCGTAGGTTACCCGCTCTCCTCAATTCGGTCCCTTAGCGCGCACAGATCCCCTACTCATTGGCGGAGGTTCCTTCGTATGTGGACACATGCACCAATTTCTACACGGCAGAATATTGATTCCAATCTAGCAACATCCTCCTGAAGCTCGTGCGGCCCTCACGATGGAGTAAGCCCCTACCCACTGTTCCCTGAACTCTGTCCCTGATACCAGCCCACTCGAAGTTCCGAGCATAATGCTCGCATGGGGTCAGCGGTTCCCAGTTCCTTCCGCGTTCCCTGCTCACCGCAGCCAAACCAGGACTTGTTATGACTCTAATGTGCCTCTGCAAGACTTACCACGAACTGATAATGTGTGTACTTTTGCCTTCTTCGCCTTCGACGTCGTCCTCACGTGATCGTTCCCAGCGCTCGAGTTTGTGCGTATACGCCCGTTCACCGTCCCAACTTGTATCGGTTGACCTTCCGACGCAGTCTTGGGGCTCACCGAGGCGGGTCTTTTTCCTGGGGTAAGTTGGAGGGAGGATCTGCCGATGCATGAATTCAATATCGTCGACAGGTGACATTTTATCTGTCGTTGTGGTATCGCCGGCGTGAAGTGGCTTCACGGGTGGCGATATTCTTCTCTGCCGCGACCGTAGCCGGTGAGTTGCATGTTCTGGCTGTGTGTACCGTACTGAATGTTTGTTTGTCCAGGCGCGTTCGGTGGTTTGCTGGCGTTGGTGACCTCGTTCCTTTCTATATCACAGACTGACATCTGTCTAGATTTTGTATCGAGAAGATGGAGGGCATAGGCGGGCTTCATGGATGGCAGTGGATTGTAGGAGCTATAACCATTCTGAGTGTGCAGTTGGCTAATGGTCGTTTGCAGTTCTGTTTGGAGGGCCTTGGTAAGTCTGCGACTCTACTGGCTCGATTATACTGACCTTATCTCAATTTTAGCGACGATGCTGGGTACAGAGTCCTCCTGCTATTCCGCGCTCCGACTAACTCTCCGACAGTGGCAGCGTCCTCGTATTACTTCATGCACGACGTGAGTACATTTCCATTCATCGTTCGGCGGCAGCTAACCATTGCGACACAGTACCCCGAAACGGCGACGTTCTTGTCGGACACGGAGCGCAAGCAGATCGTCTATATGCTGAAGGAGGATTCTCAGGACCTCGCAACGCACTATGACAGGAAATTCGTCTGGCAGGCGTTCAAAGACTACAAGACCTACGTACAGATCGGAATCTACATGGGGTCAGTAACTTTATGCAGTCGCGAGTACCGGTTCTCACATTTGAGTTAGAGTGCTCATCCCCGTTTATGCGATCGCGGTAAGTAGATGGTTCAAGTCCCTGGTCCTATCCAACGTTGTCTGCGTAGCTCTTCACGCCGACTATCGTCCAAGAGCTGGGGTTCTCAGCCGCCAACGCGCAGCTGCTGACGATACCGCCTTTCTTTGCGGGATGTATCGCGACGATTGGCGTTGGGTTCCTGTCTGATCGGTACAATTTGCGCGGTCCGTTCATCGTTGGCCCGTGTTTGGTTGCACTTGTCGGGTACCTATTCACCCTTACTTTATTCTTCACTCTTATTTCCTTATAGATACCTCATTTTGTACAACACCAAGTCACCCGGCGCTGGGTATGTCGGCGCGGTGTTGGCAGCGGTCGGTGTCTACCCCACGATCGCGGTCAAGTGAGTAGCCAGAGTCGGAGTTGCTGGGATGTGCTAACGGGATGCAGTCTTGCTTGGGCGGGTAGCATCGCCGGCGGGGACGTCCGTCGAGGTTGGTGTCTGCGCTACAATGAAATCTATCTCACTGACTTTTGTACAGGGGTCGTCATCGCCATGGTCATTGGGCTAGGCAACCTCGGAGGAATCTGCTCGTCGTTCATCTACATCACGCCGCCGTACTTTCACATCGGGCACGGCACCATCATGGGCTGGTTGGGGCTCTCGTGCGTCTCTCTCTCTCTCTCTCTCCCTCTCCCCCCCTCCCTTGAGTGTATATACCGCGCAAGGGACTGATGTGCATGTATGCAGCATCATCCTCAGCTGCTTCGCGATGTGGGATCACGCCCGGGTCAACAAGCAGCGGGAGGCGTACTGCGCCCGTGAAGGTATTGGTGCCGAGCGCCGGGCGGAGTTCCGCGATATGGGGAGCGAGAGTCCGTTATTTAGGTGTGTGTTTCGAGTTTTGCGGGCATGGTTCGTTTGGAACTCACTTTCGTGGTTAGGTATACGATTTAGGAAGAGGCAAATATTATGATTGAATGAATGGTCTTTGATAACCTGCTGTTCTACCTATTGGAACTTGCGGATTTGCAACGAAGCCCGGTCATCAGATGGAGCAAAATATGCTTCTACCCAGGGTCAAACGTTGTGTACAGCGGGCCCTGGCAGAAGGACAAGGGGTGAAAAAGGGGGGGGGCCTCCAACGCAGGTGAGATAGAAAAATTAAAACGCACCAAAAGAAAAACGTGATTCCACCCGGGCTCGAACCGGGGACCGCCTGTGCACAATTACGTCCGATGCCTTAAGGAATCTGAAGGTCTTGTTAGACAGAAGTCATAAACCAACTAGACCATAGAACCCTTTAACATACACCAGGGGCAAAGAGCTGATCATGTCAATCCACATACGACGGAATCATGCAGTTAGCATGTGGTCAGTATGTCCGTGTGACATCGATGAAAGGTCTTTGTAACTCGACAAAGGCCTGGTAAGTTGGCGGGGATCAGAATACAATGGGTTAGCAGAAATGTAATAGATAGTTAAAGGATATTTACCGATGAGATGGGAATAAACTGAGGGTTTTCCGACGCCAAGCCGTGGCTCGGCAGTAGATGCCGCCAGAACCGCCCGACGGGAAGGCACAAAGGCCTCGTCAGGGAGGCACTCTGATGTGACTGCTCAAAGCCAGCTCACAACTGAGTCAGCCTTTGTGAACGTGCTCCTTTGGCCATCATTCACGACCCCGCCATGCGCGCCTTCCCCGTACCGCGGCGGTGTATAATGTGATCTTCCCACGCTCAACATCGCATCACAGGCCGGCACGGATGCTCGGCACCTTTGTCGAGGGCACTTCCAGCCTTTGTCGCTGTGTGATGTCGCCTGCAGGTAGCCTTTGCCACTGGGTAATGTGGGCCACCGTTGACCTTTGTCGCTGTTCAACATAGGCTGCACATTCATTTTTTGTCGGCGCACCATCAGCCCCGCCTTGCTGACTAATGGGTCTTGCCGGGAGGCGGCACTGCCACCACTGACACCAATGGCGCGCCGACATCTTAGAATTCCGCCACAGGTGTGACACTCAAATTGGGACATTTTATTTCAGCAACTTTGGCAGGCTTGACCCTGTCGGCCCCATCGGTGCATTACACGGACATGAACAAGTCGCAGGTGAGAGGAACAGATTTTATTTCCCAATTTGAGTGTCACACCTGTGGCGGAATTCTAAGATGTCGGCGCGCCATTGGTGTCAGTGGTGGCAGTGCCGCCTCCCGGCAAGACCCGTTAGTCAGCAAGGCGGGGCTGATGGTGCGCCGACAAAAAATGAATGTGCAGCCTATGTTGAACAGCGACAAAGGTCAACGGTGGCCCACATTACCCAGTGGCAAAGGCTACCTGCAGGCGACATCACACAGCGACAAAGGCTGGAAGTGCCCTCGACAAAGGTGCCGAGCATCCGTGCCGGCCTGTGATGCGATGTTGAGCGTGGGAAGATCACATTATACACCGCCGCGGTACGGGGAAGGCGCGCATGGCGGGGTCGTGAATGATGGCCAAAGGAGCACGTTCACAAAGGCTGACTCAGTTGTGAGCTGGCTTTGAGCAGTCACATCAGAGTGCCTCCCTGACGAGGCCTTTGTGCCTTCCCGTCGGGCGGTTCTGGCGGCATCTACTGCCGAGCCACGGCTTGGCGTCGGAAAACCCTCAGTTTATTCCCATCTCATCGGTAAATATCCTTTAACTATCTATTACATTTCTGCTAACCCATTGTATTCTGATCCCCGCCGACTTACCAGGCCTTTGTCGAGTTACAAAGGCCTTTGATGCATGTCACACCCACATACGGACCAACTGACCGAGCGCATGATGCCGTCGTATGTGGATCGACATGACTGGGTCTTTGCCCCTGGTGATACCCCGACGGTAAAGGTACTGTCATGTATGTAATCCTTCATCTCCAGCCTCCAGGAATTTTTTCAACATTTTTGCTTCAATTTTTCGTGGCCTTTTCACAACTTCTACTAGGTAAACTGAGCATAAATATTGAGACCCGTAGATCTGTCACTCTGGAGAAGTGTGCCGTCATTGTGCAGAGGCCTCTAGTGAACGTGAGTGAGCCCACTGCCAAAATCCACCTACCATGATGGATTTTAGGTCGGGGTTTGGTTCAACTTTGGCCACACCTTCCAACGTGCAGATACTTAACTTAACTTACCAAACCTGTGTAATATTTAATCCCAAACATTGAACTTGAACAGGGTGTGTGGTCCGGATAAGACTCAGGATAAATGGTTCCTTTCAGAACATGCTGAAGCTTGAGTTGTAACAACAGTACATCCGGCCTGTAGATATACAGTATTACAGCCACCACACTGCACTTCAACCACCGGTTCAGGTTCAAAATGATATCCGAACCGCACCTTGCCAGCACTAACACAGCCTCACTTCCATAAAGTGAAGTCTCTGCCAGGTCAGAACTGACAGATAGTCCGAGTCAGGCTCCAAAGGTTCAGGCTCAGAGTTTCCAAGGGCCTGTGGCCTGCTGACCCTGTGCTTGAGCCGAGATTACATCTCCTACAATGAATTTTGAACATGGCAAAATCATAGGAGAAGTCTTTTGGTCCAGGATGTTCAGTGAACCCATAGCCAGGTGTTTGAGCTTGGCTGGAAGATCACTGACGTGTTTGACCTCTTAGACTCTATAGCTCAACCATCACCTCTCTGCGAACCCCCAGCCAGGTTCCACCTTTAAGTTTCAAAATCACCACTGGTCTCAACAGACTGCACAGTACTTACCCTTGAGCTTGAAATTCCATGGGTGCCCTTTAGGTATGCCTTGTTCTGATACTGTCCCTTTATCACTCTGTTGCATCATAGATAGTGTACCGGTAACCTGTAAATCTGGCCTGAGCATGGTTCCACATTTCAGGTGTCTGAGACTCTGAGATAAATAAATTCAGTTGAAGAAGTGTTCTACTAAGCTTCTGCACCAAGCGAGAATTGAGTTCGGCGTGGGTTTGACCGTGGTTATTCCAATGCAACAATTCTCATCGAGGACTCGTTTCCATGTTCTTGACCGTGACGCGACTGGCGACAAATTAGCGCGTCGAGCTCACGTGTGCGCCATCACGATCAAAGTCAATCCGATTTGGGCAAGTGCTGCTTCTCCTCGACCATGCACGCCATAACGGTACGGCGCAGCGTTCGTCCCTCTGCAGCTTCTTATTCTCTGTTCTAGCAACAATTCTGGTCCGTCAGGGAATACCTGAGTCCTGTAAGTCTTTACGACCGTCCCTATCGTCGACTAATCGTTCGTTGCCTTAGGTTCTTAAAGAGAGCAAGTTTAAAGAACACGGACGTATCACACCCGGTTTGTTGCCAGTACAAGACTCCACTCTACTTGTTCTGACCTTGAGCAGAGGAATTTGTGGCCGCAGGCGATTTCCTGGCGTACAAGTTTCCAGTGTGGGCGTGGTCAGTGGCTCTTTTCCACGAGGCACCACCACTTATGCTATCGGCGCCGCAGGGAACAAGGCGACGCCTCAAAGCTCAAGGAGTACCTCCCCACGGATAAGCAATATCTTGTTACCCGAGGGGTTCCCTGTCTCCGCCGCGCGACCTCGCTTGCCTACACGGACGCCGACGAGGATGCTGAACGTCTATTGTCTTTCGGAGACTTCGGAGACTCCTCTGGAGCCGACGAGTGGGTCGAGACCCATGCTGGCCGTAAGGCGAACCTCGATTCCGCCAATCCCGGCACCATCGACGATATTCCCGACCTCGACGCTACGGCGGAGGACTCGGTCACTCAGGGCGTAGGTTCGCTCTCTTTGGACGGTGCCGCGGAGACGCCCGATTTAGATGATATTCCGGATATGGAAGAAGAGGGTCTGGAGGAGGAGGAGGATGAGGCTACTGCGAAGCCCAAGGCCGCGGTCATTGACTCGAGGTGCGTTAGCGCACTGCTTTATAGTACACAGATGACTTATATCCCGCAGCCAAGTCGAGGTCGCGAACGGAAATCTTCTTCAAGTGCGAACGTACGATGTCATGATAACCTACGACAAGTACTACCAGACACCTCGCATCTGGCTGATTGGCTACGATGAGGTTAGATTCCCATCTCGTCTCATTTCTAGTGGTTTCCTGACCTTGCGCTCGAAGAACCGCACTGCTCTGACGCCGCCACAAATCTTTCAAGACGTCTCCGCCGACCATGCCTTCAAGACTGTCACTATTGAAACCTTCCCCCACTCCACCTCGCTGCAATCGGCGTCTGTTCATCCCTGCAAACACGCTAGCGTGATGAAGAAGGTCATCGAGCGCATGAACAACAGCGTCGTCGAGGAGCAGCTTGCCCAGCGCGGCGGCAAACCCGGGAGCTCCAAGGACGGCAAGAAGAAATGGTTTAGCCGCAAGAACAGCGGCAGTGGGAAGGAGGATAAGAACGCTAACCCCGACGATGAGGAGGTCGAGGGCATGCGGGTCGACTTTTATCTCGTCGTGTTCCTCAAGTTCATTGCGTCGATCGTGCCGACCATCGAGGTCGACTCGACGACGGCGTTCTGATCGCTCGCACGATGAGCGTGGATTATACCCCGACTCCAACGAGCAAATGTATCTGTACGAAAACCTGATTTACTTAGAATGCATGCTGCTGTTTCACGCTACCCACCAGAGCAAAAAGACGATAACGAAATGAAGGCGGTACAGAGATCAAGCAGCAACATCAGTCGCAGACTTGGACTTTTTATCCTTTTTCTCTTTCCGCTTCTTCTCCACCAGCGCGTCGTCCGTAGACGGTGATGCCTCGACCTCTGCCACCTCAGCTTTCGCCTTCTTGTCCTTCTTCCGTTTCTTTTCTACCGCCTCCTCGACAGGTATCGACGGCGGCAAGTCGACGTCCATCTCCCCAACGCTTTTCTTGTCCTTCTTCCGCTTCTTCTCCGGCGCAGCAGCATCGACCTCTAAAGCGTCGCCGGCCCCCGCCGCCGTCTCCTCAACCGCCTTCGCCTTCTTGTCCTTTTTCTCCTTCTTGCGCTTCTTGTCTGCAGGCTCGGCGTCTGGTATTGACGGCGCGTCGACATCCATCGCTTCACCATCGTCGCGTTTCCGCTTTTTGCCTGGTGAACTCGGTTCGCCTGCGCCCACGCTCGCAGTCTTGTCTGCGTGCTTTTGCGATTTTTTGAGCTCTGTGGCCTCTTGCCGCAGCTGTTTCCGCCGGGCCTTGGCGTCGCCTTCGGCTGCGGCGGTACTTGACTCGGCGTCTGGTGCAGGCGCCTATGTAGAAACGTTGAGCCCAAGATAAGAGGAAATATTTTGGAACCTCACCGATTCAGCGGTTGCCGCCGCATTTTTCTTC